CACAACTCCACTCTCACCTTGCAGGGTGGGGTGACTGTCCTGGTGGCTCTAGGCATGGGCAGGAAGCTCTGGTTATTTCTAGGCAGGGTGCCTGCTGGCCTGTGAGCTCTGTCCATGTACCAAAGTGGGGTTCCTCTTGCAGCAGTCTTGGGGGTCTACTACTGTAATGGATTAAAAAGAGGGAGAGTTAGCCCTCTACCCATAACCACCTCTGGCATAGGTGATTTTCTAAACACATCTCTTCAGGGCTTTATCAGTGCTGTAAAAGCGAAAGCAGTGTGGAAATGAAAATTCCTCCCAAACTCCTATCCATGAATCATCAGGCCTGGAAGCCAGGGAGCTGTCATTCTCATCAGGCTCCAGGAGAACTGTGTGAGGACCAGCAGCTGGCGTGCGGCCTGGCGCATAGGGCCATGACCTCACACTTAATTCAGCCCAAGTGGGCAGGTCACCCTGTGCGTCTCCTTTTATTTTTAAAGATCTATATTTACTCAGCTTGGGGCTGGGCCATGTAGAAATCTCCGCTGCCCCTGTGCTTCTTAAAAAAAGTTTTCTTTCTATACTTGGAAGAAACATAGAACTACGTCTTCCCTTGCTCCCTCTCCAGCTCCTCCTTTCTCCTAGACGCGTGCCCACAGTCCCCTGGGTTTCTAGGTGTGCTTGTTTTGTCAGCTGTATTCTTGGGAGCGTGATGAGGAGGGTCCTACCCCAGGCTGGGCAGGTGACTTCAGCCCACTGGGGGAATTTGGGCAGATCCGGCTTTCCCACTCTTTGCCCTGGGGGCTTTTGGGGAATTTTACCCTTTTCCAAGGCAGTGCCCATGGTTGGAATGCTACTGCTAAAGTGACAGTGCTCTGTTTGGCATTCCTCCACCCCTTTTCTACTTTTTAAAAAGGGATCTCTGAGTAGTGTAAACGGTTAAGCTCTGGGCTACTAACCAAAAGGTTGGTGGTTCAGACCAACCCAGGGGTGCCTCAGAAGAAAGACCTGGTGATCTGCTTCCAAAAGATCACAGCCTTGGAAACCCTGTGGAGCACAGTTCTACTCTGCAACACATGGGGTCACCCTGAGTCGGAATCCACTCGATGACAACTGGTTTGACTTTGGTTTACGTTTAAAAAGACCTTGGGGTTAGAGGGCGCAATTTATGCCCATAAAATATTTGAACATCATTCATCCATGTGTGGAGACACAAGGGCTCAGGAAGCAATGGATGGAGGATGAATGTGTGCTGATGGTCAATGCAGTTGACACCCAGGGTTGTGGACCAAGCAGCATGCCCACGGGGGATTTCAGGCTTCCCCTTACTTTTGTGTAGACTGTGTTGAAGTCACTCCTTGTTTACTTCCAACAGAACTGCACCTCTCCGGAAAGCTCCATGACTATGGTGTGACAGTGCCCTGCAGTACAGATTTTCAAGGACGCTTCCTCTCCCATGTGGTGTCTGGCCCAGTAGCAGTCTCTGCAAGAAGCACAGTGATGGGTAGGCCACCTGCACCACCGTCACACTCCAGGCCCCGCCGGGTGGCTCGCAGCTCCCTGCGCCCTGACAGAGGCACCCTGCAGCCTGGCAGGGTGGGACGCCACTCCCTCTACTTCAATGTCACTGTTTTTGGGAAGGAACTACACTTGCACCTGTGGCCCAATCGGCGGTTGGTGGTGCCAGGAGCCTCAGTGGAGTGGCAGGAGGACTTTCAGGAGCTATTCCGGCAGCCCTTATGGCAGGAGTGTGTCTACACTGGAGGTGTCACAGGCATGCCAGGGGCAGCTGTCGCCATCAGCAACTGCGATGGATTGGTAAGGGATAAGCCTCTTGTCAAGCTATTCCCCTTGCCACACTCCCACCCAGGCCCTGGCCGGCTGAGCCAGGCCAACATGGTTTTCTCCTTGGCTTCCCTGTGTTTGGGATTCCTGTGGGTACAATGAAGCTGGGGGCAAGTTTTCCAGAGAGAGAGAGCCACACAATTGGCCTGACGTGAAGTGGCTGAGTTAGCTGGTTTCTTTTTCTTGTCTATCCTCTCATCATCCATGGGACCTATCTGGACCACAGTTTACCTGCCTGACACCTTTGAGCCCGGACAAACCAAGAGGTTAGGAAGGTGGGTTTTGGTGGCTGACTGCTGAGGTTTGAATCCTCCTGAGCCATTTACTAGCTATGAGGATTTGAATAAATTGAACTGGCTTCTGGTTAGCAGTCATATATGCCTTAGGCACTATGCCACCAGAGCTCCCCTGCTTGCATTAAACCAAATTCACTGCCGTGGAGTAGGATCTGACTCGTAGCGACCCCTCCTTGGGTTTCTGAGGCAGTATCACTATGGAAGTAGATTGCCCAACCTTCTTTTGAGGATTGCCTGGTGGGGTTGAACTGCCAGCCTTCTGGTTAGCAGTCAAATGCTTTAGGCACTACGCCACCAGAGCTGCCTGCATTAGTCACTGTTATTATTTTTACTATTACTTTTTTTTCTCCCATGGATCTCTCTTCCCAAAGCCTGCTGGCTCTTTCTGGCTGCTCTGATATTCCCTTTCTTAGCACTCCATTCTCCCAGGTGCTGGGAATGCCCCCTGCCAGTTGGCTCCATAGTGCAAACCAGAGAACCATAGGGTGGATCCTCTCCCTCACTCTCATCTCTCGGTGGGTTTGCTTCCTTTCGCTGCCCGTTCTCAATGTGTGTGTGTGTGTGTGTGTGTGTATGTGTGTTAGGCCCACAAGGAACTTTAGGGCAGCCCCTCAGTCCCAGTGGATGGCTCTTCCATTGGTCTCTACTTTGCCATTGACAGCAGGTAAGAGCTAATGTGTCCCAAGAAAGGACCTGCTTGTCCTCTACCATTCACCTTTAAGAAGGGTGAGTAAGATGCGGCTGATAAGGGGGCAGGGGTCCTCCCTCACTGGCAGGGCTGGGAGACTTCTCACTGTCTTCCATCCTCAAGAGGCATCTTACTGCTAGATGTTGTCGCCACCTTTGTCTAGGCCAGCATTTCCCAACTTTCTTTTTTTTCTTTCCCCATCAGCATCCCCCTAAGGAACCTTTTTGGAAGCATTGGTGGCTCAGTGATAGAATCTTTGCCTTCCATGAGCAGACTTGGGTTCGATTCCCAGCCAACACACCTCAAATGTCCCAGCCACCCGTCTGGCAATAGAGGCTTGTGTATTGCTATATGCTGAACAGGTTCCGGAAGAACTTCCAGGTTAAGACAGACTAGGAAGGAAGGCCTGGTGTTCTGCGTCTGAAAATCAGCCAGTGAAAATCAGATGGGTCACAATGGTCCAGTCCTCAGCCAACCGTGGGGAAGGCACAGGACTGGGCAGCATTTTGTTCTACTGTCCACGGGGTCCCCTTGAGTTGGGGGACAACTTGACAGTAGCTAACAGCAATAAAGAAACTTTTTAGACATTTTTTCCCTACTTAGCCCCCCACCATGAAATTTTCATACCAGCCCTCCAGTCTCTGCCTCTGTCTTCACATGGTCATGTTCCCATGTGTCTGTCCCTCTTTCTCTCTTCCTTTTACTAGGATATCACTCATATTGGATTAGGTCCCACTCTATTCCAGAGTAACTTCATGCTAACTAATAAAATTGAAAAATCCTATTTCTGAGCAAGGTCACATTCACTGGTACCAGGGGTTAGGACTTTAACATATCTTTTGGGAGCCCACGGTCAAGCTGTAATACCCCTGCTTTGTAGCAAGTCAACTTCCTGCCTCTCTAGCAGAGTGGGGACCCATATGTAGTAGTTTTAATATCTACTTGGTTGTTTTCCAGAACATTGTGGGTACTCAATAAATGGGAATGATCTTTTTTTTTTTTTTTGGTATCAGAGCAGGGGTAACCTAACCTAACCTAACTCACTGCTGTCGAGTTGGATCTGACTCATAGCTACCCCTCCTTGGGTTTCTGAGGCAGTATCACTATGGAAGTAGATTGCCCAGCCTTCCTTCTGAGGAGTGGCTGGTGGGTTTGAACCGCCAGCCTGCTGGTTACCAGTCAAATGCCTTAAGCACTACACCATCAGAGCAGAGGTGGAGATATTTTAATTGGGCATTGATGGATGAGTAGAAGCTTGCTAGGGGCAGAGAGTAGGGAGTGGCCTCTCCTAGGCAGGGGAAAGCTTGAGCAAGAGAGTGATGGTTGAATAGAGGGTGGAGCACCCTGCTGAATGAGGCTGCGGAGTGGAGCCCAAAAGATGTGCTGGGCAGGTGGACCTTGGTCTGATCTTGAAATAAGGAAAGAGGGTGTGAGGTGGATGTGCCAGACTAGTATAGGAAAAGAGGCTAAGCTGGGAGTTTGGAGATGCCTTTTTTTTTTTTAATTGTGATTTGGGTGAAAGTTTACAGAATAAATTCACTTTCCATACAGCAGTTCACACACACGTTGTCTCATGACATTGACTACAATTTACCCCAATGCAACAGCTTCCCTCCCACTTCCTCCAGATTGTTACCTCTTCCCTGTGTCCATCCCTCCATACACTCCTGCCCCCTGAGCTGTCTCCCTGTGTATAAACAGCCATTCTTTCTCCCATGATTGTTCTCTCCAAGGAGTGTATATGTCTAATGTAAATGTTCAACTCATATGCCTGTCTTTTGTTTGGCTGGAAGCCACAGGTATGGGTTCAATTCCAGACCTGAAGGGCAGCTACAGACCATAGTCTCAGTGGTTCCACCAGGCTCTATCAGACCAGCAAACCTGGTCCCCCCACTCTTTTTTTCCCCCAAATGATTGTGAGTTTTGTTCTACATTGCTCTCCCTCTCTATCTAGGATCTCCTACATAGATCCCCCTCCGAGTGGTTGACAGTGGTAGCCGGGGACCATGGAGACACCTTTTGTAGCTGTGTGGCCCAGGGCAAGTTGCCCTGGTTCTGTGGATCCCATTGCCTCCTTGGGGCCTGGAGGAGGCTAGAATAGATAAGATCAGGCCCTTTCCAGCTCTGAGATTGGTGCTTTGTGACCATGAGGCAGGCCTGGTTGGAGGACTTCGGAGCCTGGTACCTGTAAATGGACTCCTCCCACCTGTGGAGGGTATTGAGGGCTTCCTGGCAGCAGGTCTGGGCAAGGTTGCAGGTGCAGAGAGGGTGGAGGAGAACTTCCCAGTATAAGAGTTGGTCTGAACAAAACCTCTTCTGTGTTGCTGCTACTTGGCTCTTCACTGCTCTGGTGAGAAGGGCAGTGTCTAAATGTCTGGCTGTGCCCTCATTTCTAACTGGAACCTGTAGTGGTAGGGAGACACCATCATCTTCCACTTCTGCCAGTCTTGTAGAGTCGCCTGCCCTTGGGCCCCTGAGACCAATGCTGGGGAGGTTTGTATGCGCTGTGGCTAATTCATGCCTAAAAGTAGTCTCCCTTCCCACCCATTTTTCTGGAGGGCCTTGTGTGTGTCACGGCTGGTGGTGGTGGTGGTGATGGGGGGGTGAATTCCAGGAATGAGGAAGCCAGAGTCCCTGCCCTGGATGAATTCCTAAGCTAAGGTCCCAGTCATGAAAGCAGACAGATTGCAGTCCTATGAGGGGCAACAGCAGCAGCAGGACCAATTTATTATTGGTTAAGACATCTAGGAAGACTCCCTGGAGGAGGTGGCATTGGCTCAAGACTATTTAAACATTATAAATATGAAAGAGAAGTTCTGGGTCCCTAGCCAGCATTGTAAACAAGTGACCAGGCAGGCTTGAAGATGTTTTGGGGCAGGAAATAAGGGATGTGGAGGAGGCCCAGTTCTACTCTCAAAATGTTTCCCCTGGGATCAGGGGCAGCTTCTCTGGGATGCTGTCAGATCTCAGGGTCCTTAGATTGGGAAGCCACCTGATGAGCACCTCTTCACAGAGCCTGCCTTAGGGTGCCCTGCCAATCAATTAGGGATCCTCCCCACATGCTGTGATCCCCAGCTTCTGAGAATGCCCGTGGGCAGGGAGGGCTTGGGTCTTCTTGGTCTTCTTCAGACCCTCTGTCAGTTTTTGTGACTCTGGATTCCTGGGAGGAACATGGGGATCTAAGGTGTGGACCAGTTCTTTGTGGGTTCTGGAGGGTGTGGAAGCAGTTTGGCAGAGTGGGTTCCCCACTCCCGGATGAGGCCATGTGACCCCCCTAGGACTGGACTGCAGCCTCCTGCAGGTCTGCCTCCCGGGCCATCCTGCCTCCCAGTGTCCTGGCCTGGCTGTCTCTCCACTGGTGAGATCAGGGCTTGGCTGTGCTGTACTTTCACCTTTACCTCTAGTGCCTTAGGTGAGTCGTGGGCCTGGTGCGGGAGCAGCCACACGTTTAGCATTTGTCACCATCTGGTTCTGCTTTCCCTTCTGCAAATGCTGCATTTTAATAGGTTACACGGAGTGGCGCCCTGGCAGGCTACGTGGAGGGTGGGAAGCCAGCCCCCAGCCCCACCTCTTCCAGCAAGTCACAGACTCTCTGAACTCCATCCTTTTGTTTCGAAAATGGATCACTTTGAAGGGGCTGGCAGCTGATGGCTAAAGAGTGTGGGGTTTCTTTCTGGGGTGAAAAAATGTTCTTAAATTGACTGTGGTGGTGGTTGCATAACTCTGAATATGCAAAAAACCATTCATCGAACAGTGCACTTTAAATGGTAAATTTTATGGCATGTGAGTTGGATCCTAGTGAGGCTGTTACCAAAAAATAAGAAAACAAAACAAAACAAAAATGAGATCACAAAGCCTCCTTGTGGGGTTGCAGTGAATGTTAATGACATTACATACATAAAGTGCCTGGCCTGCTGCACAGTGCCTGTGAAGGGCATTGTGAGTAGTAATTCCAAGGAAGGAGTCTCAGGTGGTGGAATGTATGGTAT